TTATTACCAAGTATGTTTACACACACAAGGAATTTGACTTGACGACAGGAGCTTCCAGTGTAGAAGAAAGTACATTGCCTTCACATATTATGTTTAAAAAGATCAGTAGGCGGTATACATCACTGTATACTACACTTGACATACCTGTTAAAAAACAATCAGCAGGCAGTATATAGTGTCACTGCAGTAAGGAGCCTACTGCATGCTCTTTCACATACCTTTTTAAAAACCAACAGGCAGTGTAAGTACTAGATTTCATGTGTCGGTAATGTAGCATACTGCAATGTACAGTCTGTACTATCACTGCAAACTTAACAGTACAGCGTAATACAGGTTGAAACGTTTATCACTACCTACTGTGTTACATACTATTTTCTCTATAACTAGTAGGTAATATACAGCATATAATAATATCACAGCATACTGCATTAAATTCGTGTGACAATGTTGTGTAATAGTTTCAGATACTGTATTTATCACTACATACTGTCACATACTGTTTTCTCAAAACTAGTTGGCAGCATTCAGTATGTACTATCACTGCATACTTCATTAGTCACATGACACTGCAGCGTAATACAGTTTGAAATGTTTCCTACCTACTGCATAGTCAAATACTTTTTCTCAAAACTAGTAAGCAATATACAGTAGTCAACATTTGATGTGGATCAAAAAAGTTGTCCTAAGACAAGAACGCATTTTGGTTTTAGGACAACTTTGATGAAAGGTTTTGATCCACTTCAAATGTTGACTAGTGTATAACTGCATAATTAATTAAAGTCACATGAGAGTGTAGTGTGATACAGTTTGAAATGTTCATTGCTAGCTAATACATACTGTTTTCTCAAAACTAGAGAGAATCACTGCATACTACAGTAAAGTATACACTGTGTTTAATTGAAATGTTTATCCTCACCTACTGCATACTGTTTCGGATACGGCCTACTTTTTCATTAAATAGTATATACTGTGCAGTTCAGCAGGACTCTAGTATTCCATCAGGTGTGTGTGTGTGCGAGTGAAGTGGGCAGGTTTTCCTCCGACTTCACTTGGTTCAAGTCATCACACACTCTCTCACCCTCCTGCATACAGAGCTGACTGAATATGTTTGTGTTTTCATAGAACCTGCAATGGGCACGAGACGTGTTGCTAGGGAGCAGTGTCCCATGGCAACAGCTGAAGCACATGCCGGCACAAGGACTTTTCTGCGAGAGGAATAAGACCAATCTGTTCAACGTAAGTCACACAAGCATGCAGCCGCACTTATGTCAAAGTTCACCGTATCACAGCAAATTTAGTTTGCTGCCACAGCGTGATCCAATCTGGAGATATTAGTGATGTGTGTTTATCTGGCAGAGCGAGTCTGCTGTTCATACACATGTGTGTGATGTATGCCATCACGAGTTCCTCCGATACAGTGCAGTAAAATCCCTCCACACACACACACAAATCCAGAGAGATTACGACTCCTCACTGAAAATGCCCTGAACTGGCTGGATTTGCAGTCCTCGCTGCACACCATGAGGCAGACAGGTGGCATCACTATGGTGTGTGTACATGTGTTATTGCTGTTTTGCCCAGTGGCCTTTTGGCACATTGGTACAGTCTTCACAGAGCTGAGGCCGTAACATTAGTGTTGTGTTAGTGTGTCTACCTTTGGCTGTGGGTGTGGTCGCTGGGAGGAAGCAGCCTGTGGCTTTGTCAGTTTTGGCACACGGTGGTATAAAAACACTCGGGCGTCATGTCTCGCTGGGCTTCAGAGCTCTGCCCACTAGGATACACCAACCTCGTACCCACCTGTTCTCAGCTTATGGGAAAATCCTCACATACACAAGCAGCATCCGGTCCAGGGCTCATGGAGCCTTCTGAAGAGCTTTTGCATTGTATTATGGTGGGCATTTTAGAGATGTTTTTTATGGTTATTTCTTTAAAGAGACAGTTCACTCAAAAATGAAAATTACCCCATGATTTACTCACCCTCAAGCCATCCTAGGTGTATATAACTTCTTTCAGACAAATACAATCCGAGTTATATTAAAAAATGTCCTGGCTCTTCCAAGCTTTATAATGGCAGTGAATGGTGGTTGAGATTTTGAAGTCCAATAAAGTGCGTCCATCCATCATAAAATGTGCTCCACACGGCTCTGAGGGATTAATAAAGTGAAGTGAAGTGATGCGTTTGTGTAAGAATAATAACCATATTTAAAACTTTATAAACCATAACCTCTAGCTTCCGCTAACTGTCGTACGCGCGTTCACGAGAGAGTGACGTTCCAGCGGATGATGTAGGACGTAAGCGTAGCGTAAGCTCTGGTGAGAAGTGACGAACGCAGAAGCGCAGAGGAAAAGAGCAAAGCAAAACACTGGTCACAAATTAGAGATACAAAACGAGAATGGAGGAGACTGGTTTTCCTTTGCTGTAAACAAAACTTGGTTCTCACAAGACTAGCATATTCTCACCAGAGCTTACGCTACAGCTACGTCCTACATCAGGGATCTTCAAATTCGGTCCTGGAGGGCCGGTGTCCTGCAGAGTTTAGCTCCAACTTGCCTTAACACCTGCCTGGAAGTCTATAGTATGCCTAGTAAGACCTTGATTAGCTGGTTCAGGTGTGTTTAATTAGGGTTGGAGCTAAACTCTGCAGGACACTGGCCCTCCAGGACCGAGTTTGGAGACCCCTGTCCTACATCATCCGCTGGAGCACCACTCTCTCGTGAACGCGCGTACAGTTAGCGGAAGCTGGAGATTACGGTTTATAAAGTTTTAAATATGGATATTATTCTTACACAAACACATTGATTCACTTCAGAAGGCCTTTATTAATCCCCCGGAGCCGTGTGGAGCACTTTTTATGACGGATGGATGCAATGTTTTGGGCTTCAAAATCTTGACCCCCATTCACTGGCATTATAAAGCTTGGAAGAGCCAGGACATTTTTAATATAACTCTGACTATTTGTCTGAATGAAGAAACTCATATACACCTAGGATGGCTTGAGGGTGAGTAAATCATGGGGTAATTTAAATTTTTTGGTGAACTATCCCTTTAATCTAACAGGTATTCCATGTTGCCCAATGGTATCCTTCAAAAAATGTGCAGATTTAAAGGGGTAATTCACCCAAAAAGAAAATTCTGTCATTTACTCAACCTCAGGCTGTTCCAACCCTTTATGAGTTTTTTTTTTCTTCTGTTGAACATAAAATAAGATTTTTTTTGAAGAATGCTGGTAACCAAAAAGTTGACGGTAGCCATTGACTTTCATAGTATTTTCCCCCGTATTTTCATAGTATTTTCAATGGCTACCATCAACTGTTTGGTTACCAGCATTCTTCAAAAAATCTTCAGGTTTGGAACAAATTGAGAGTGAGTAAATGATGACAGAATTTAAATTTTTGGGTGAACTATCCCTTTAAGTGTATAATTAAAGGGGTCATATGATGCGATTTCAAGTTTTCCTTTCTCTTTGGAGTGTTACAAGCTGATTGTGCATAGATAAGATCCCTGAAGTTGCAAAGACTAAAGTCTCAAAACCAAAGAGATATTCTTTATCAAAGTTAAGACTCTGCCACGCCATGAAGTAAAGTGTAGATTTAAAAAAAAAAATCAAAAGTTGAAAAGCATCAGAAAGTATTAAAGAAGTGTAAATAATATTGAATAAAAATGTAAAAAACGTGTTGAACAACTAAGATGAGATTATATTTTGAAGCTATATTTTGAGATATAAAGTTTCAGTTTCAAGAAACAAAGCTGCAATAGTCACTTTTTTTAAAATTAATTTACGTGTTTCTATATTTTTATGAATTGTGGTTAGGTTAAAACCTTAATCCTATGTCCAAAAAAGAATATTATTTAAATGAAAAATATTGCAGTCATTTTCTCGGTTGTGCTCCGTTCGATTGACATTTATGCACACGCTCTATGAAGCTATTGAGGTTTAATGACAACAGCGACATTTAATAGTTCACTGTTATGACAAGCTGCATTGGCAAATGGGAATGCTTGAATTATACGAATATAACAGTGAAATGTAAATGATGTCCTGCTGAACAAACTCTCAACTGTGTTTAGCTACACAATCACACTGTCGAAGTGCTTGCGACAGCCACATCTGGACTCATAAAACTATATTCTTATGACCTTCCTGAAGGATTTAATATAAAATGCTCCTGTATTTCTGACAACTTGCATTGCACGCTTTTTTCCACTCTTTGACCACTTTCAAATGTAATTTTGTTTACGTAGAAATGGTAATTAATCGATAATGAAATACATTTTTTCCCTTGATTTATATTTCACTTTATTCAATATAGATTGTGTCAAAGCAGTTTTACAGTCTTAAACAGGAAAATGTTTCAATAATGCAAACAAAATTCAATTCTGCTGTAAAGAAGCTCCAAAAAGAGGACAATGTTGTAATGTTAGAATTAAATAACAATAAAAATAATACATATGCACTTATCTGTACATAGTAAATGCAGTTATTTTTAAGTGGTTGTTGACATCCTATCTAAAACGTGATTTAGCAAAAAAAAAAAAAACAACATCAATAACGTTACCTCTCTAATATGTCCTCTCTAATATCCGTGCGTGCAAAGGTTCTGCGCGATCCTTCTTGTTCAATATTCTCTGGGTCTGAATCCGGCTCAAATTGATATGGCAATATTGACGCCATCCTTAAAGGGGTCATATGATGCTGGTAAAAAGAACATTATTTTGTGTATTTGGTGTAATGAAAAATTATGCGTTTTTCGAACCGCCAAGCATGAGAGCATACTAGTATAGTACATACAACATGCTAGTACACCCCCAAAACAAATTCAAGACATTGTAAAAAAGCATAATAGGATCCCTTTAAAGTCAGTTCTTCATTGTTTCGGTGATGGCATCGTCCAGCTCAGTTCAGTTCTCATCCAATAGTGTCTGTGCAGTCAAGTTGATAATATTGCCAAATATTAAGTGCCCGCAACTAAGCAAGACAAAAGGCGACAGTGGCAAGGAACCCAAACTCCATCGGTGACAGAAATGGAGAAAAAAAAACCTTGGGAGAAACCAGGCTCAGTCAAGGAGGCCAGTTCTCCTCTGAACCAGCATGGTGTGGTTTAGTTCGAAGCTGCAACACAAATCAGACTGTGGACTGGCATCACTCAGAACATCCATCCAGTTAATTGACTATTTTCACTATTGATCAGTTGTTGCATGTAAGTAACCTTTTATTTGCACCGTTGTAGAAGGCTTGTGAAATGGAGAGAAAACACAGGACATACTGTATATTTTGTTGTGTCATGAATCACGTTGTCATTTCCTGTTGTTCCTCCTACAGAACAGGAGAGGAGGAATCTTTGCCTTTGTTTGTGTGTGAGTGAGTGATATGGGTCAGGCTGCTCTAGTTTGCTCTGGGCTCTGGCAGTATTTGTTGGCCTAAGCCTTAAACGCATCACAAAAACACAAACACAGTTTCTCTCCCATGTCCACACACACTCAGGCATATGCGCTTGCATATGTAGCTGCCCACTCTCCTGTTCTCACTGGACCACTGGCCCGAGCCACAGACTAGCTGCCTGGATCATGTTCATTTGTCTTCAGTTCTTTCAGCATCACACCTATAACTGATAAACCTTTTACTATTTTATTTTATTTTGTTATTTTGTATGTTATATTTTATTTTACTTTACTTCCTGTCCAGTTTTCTTTAGATGTCTGAAATTTGTGAAAGTTCAGCCGAACAAGCACCTGTGGTTCACATGTAGAGATACGGTCAGCACGATTTGCATCTTGACTTTCCTTTTTAGCAGAAAGAGGTTGGAAATGCTGTGTGTGTGTGTGTGTTGTTGTCTCAGTGGAAAAGCACAAACATTAACAGAGGGAGAAGGGGAAATTAGAGCTGTATGACAGAGATACACCTCTGCACTCTCTGCGCCTCAGTGACTGCAACATAAACATTTTCCCAGATTCTCGTCTCTCTTCACTTTTTTCTCATCTCCTCTCGTCTCTTCTCTCTTCTTGTTTCATCTTTTCTCTAAGTTCTTCTCTTCTCATGTAGTTTCTCTTCTCACCTCTTGTTTTTTTGTCTCATCTTGTTTCATCTTTCCTTTTCTTATTTTCTTGTCTCTTCTCATGTCTCACCATGTCTTCTACTTGTCTCAGATCTTGTCTTTGCATCATCTTGTCTTTTTTATTCTCTATTCTCGCTGTCTCTTTTGTTCTCAATCTCACTTTTTTTCTTGTCTCTCTTCTT